AAAAAAAAAAAAAAAAAAAAAAAAAAAAAAAAAAAAAAAAAAAAAAAAAAAAACATGCATCACATAATATATATATGTACAAATCAATAGCGCGGGATGATAAATCGAGAGAAAAGGGCACAAGTGCGATAAGGAGATTAATGACGCAAGAAGAGCGTACCTGTTTCTTAAGTATAATGTGCTTGCCCTTCCAGTACTTCATCATTCCCAAGGCTTGCAGCGTGCTCACTATGTCCGACGAGTCGATAGCCATCTCTTTGCTAATATCTGTGAAGCATATTCACACGCTGTGTCATTATTATGTAACGAACAAATATAATGTCGGACGAGAAATTCCGAATCGTCCGCGAGTATATATGTATATATTTCCTCGGTATATGGTACAAAGACGAACCTTTGATGGATATCTCCTTGCCGCCAAAGTTGCAGAGGTACTGCAGCAGCACGTCCTTCCAGTAGCTCCGATACGATATCAGCCCGAGGTCCGACAATGGCTTTTCCGGCGAGCCTATTTTGTTCTCCACCCTCGTGAGCAGGTAGCCTGGAAAAAGAAAAAGGACGCGAGCGTCATGTCATGTACCACTTGGTTTCAAATAACAGCTAGCTGCTGCACTCGAGTTTGCGTGTACCTATATATATTATGCCTCGGGAAGAGAGAAATAAAACAAAAACAAAAAAGAAAAAGTTGGGGAAGCTCATCCACCTCCGAGAGCATTTGATTGATAAAGGGAGGCGAGATCTGCCTCTGGCCCTGAGGGATCGGCAGATTGATACGATCTTTGAAAAATCGAGATTAACTTTCCCTGGGGAGAAAAAAGAGCCGGTATCGTCTCTGACAAGCTGTACTCGTAGTCGATCGGATGATATCGCGAAAGGCCGTCGCGAGTCGAGGAGGGACACGCTCGATTCACCGTCAAATCGAGTGTCGAAAGCGATACACCAGCGTGGGCTCACCTGAACCGGTGACCGGTTGAGCGATCGTTCCAGCTGGCTTCTCTCTCTCTCTCTCTCTCGTTTTCTTCGAGCAAATTATTGACAGACGGACGAGAGCGTGCGCGCGTTATATGCACGAGTACAGGATAGGCACGGGAGTGATAGCTAGTTACAATATCATGCCTCGAGAGGCACATGTATACATTCTCGTGTACGCATATTATTCCGGCTGCCTCTGGCATTACGCGAGATCAATAAATTGAGAATTTTACTCCAAAAAACAAAAGGATAATCGAGCATTTTTGATTATTGCCTAAAAATAAAAATTTTTTATCATTATTTTTAGTTAGTCGTAGCTTTACAAGTTTTTCGAAGTAGTAAAAAGTTGGCTGCCTCGAATAGCTCGATACGAAATGTACAATTATTTACGGAACATTCATTGAATATTCCCTTGCGCTATTTACAATACAAATGGTACAGTTTTGCTTTACCCGACTGAGGTGAAATTTCACTCGATTATTTTCAACAAGCGATCGTACGGGGTAAATAATTCCAATGATACAAATTCTTACGCGTTAAAAAACTCCCAAACAATCGTCAAAAAATATTCAACAGTATATATCTTCGAAAAATTTATAAAAACATCTTCCGAAACGAAATACCATATCATACACGTATGTACAAGTTTAAAAAACAAATAAAAAAAAAGGAAAAAAAAAGGAAAAAAAAAAACAAATACTGATAAACTTTGAATCAGCGCGAGTTTATCGCTCGCGGGCCATATGAAAAATTTCATCCAGCCAAGCACGAGGATAATAATAATAATAATAATAATAATAATAATAAAAAAAACTCGCTCAAATCCAAAGCGTCAATATTTACATCCTCGCCCTCAAGTTGAAACTTCACTCTCAGGGACGGTCGTATACAACACGCCGTCGCGTGCGGTAAAGCCCTCCGCCGTAAAAGACCTCGCGAATCTATAATCTCACTGGAAATTGGCCAGTCTCGCTTAAACAGGTAACAGTCTTCTTATCGAGGCGTGATCCGCCGATCTCTTCCCCCTCACCCCTTTAGGGGGAAAAAAAAAGTACTACCCATCCGAACCCCTCAACGACGCTGCAGATATAGACGAGCATATGGAAGGAAGTGCGTAGGAATAAGTAACGGATGAGAGTGACGTACTCATCATAATTATTAATAATATATATACATAACACTGTACACACAGCAACGTACCTATAACGTGCGCAAGGGGGTGGACGGGGGCTCGGGGGGGGGGGGGTATTTTGTGTTGTTCAGTGTGAAATCTGCTCGTCCCCGATTTCACACCGGCACTACCGTTTGCGGCTACGTAGCCGGGTTTTCTGCTGCTGCAACGATCGAGTCGTCGACTCGGAGGAGGTGGCCGCGCCAACGGAGGAAGAGGAGGAGAAGAAGGGCGGCTCGGTGCAACTCGAGGGCCGATGGCCGTCCGGAGGACTTCAGCTCGAGGCAGAGGGCGTCTTGGGCGGCTGGAAGGGCTGCCACTTCAGGCACTCTGGATCGATCTCCTTGTAGTCGGCGCTCCGCCGCCTCACCCGCTCCTTGTACTCGTCGATCATATCCTGATGATCAGTCGTTTTTTTTTGTTTCATACGCGCTATTAATTTTTTTTTCCTCCCCCCACAACGATTACTTTCTAGGACTTTTTTTTTTTTTTTTCTACAAGGGTTCTTCCATATGGTTTATTTGTTTTCGTTTCAACTTTTCAGCCGTGTTATGCTTTCGTGCAATCAATGTGACTTTAATGAGGGGCGGAAAATTATACATCGTGGAACGAGGAACAGTAGTATTTTATTATCGATTAAAAATTCAATGCATGCACATGACATACACGCGATAAATTGGAGTCAATATAAACACGTCAGTCCTCGTATGAAATCAATTCAAATGCCTCCAATGGAAATATTTGGGGATCAAAGACTTTTTTACTTTCAAGTAAAATACAATTAAAAAAAAAAAAAAAAAAACATGCATCACATAATATATATATGTACAAATCAATAGCGCGGGATGATTTATAAAACTAAATTAAAAATACATCGAGCTCTGGCTTTACATTTACATGAGGTAAAAAAGTGCTAAGAAAAATTAGCACTATTTTTGTAATTGTGGACCTAAAAAATGTATGTATAAACTAATGAAATGGTAAAATATAGGTAGAAACAACGANCCTCGTATGAAATCAATTCAAATGCCTCCAATGGAAATATTTGGGGATCAAAGACTTTTTTACTTTCAAGTAAAATACAATTAAAAAAAAAAAAAAAAAAAACATGCATCACATAATATATATATGTACAAATCAATAGCGCGGGATGATAAATCGAGAGAAAAGGGCACAAGTGCGATAAGGAGATTAATGACGCAAGAAGAGCGTACCTGTTTCTTAAGTATAATGTGCTTGCCCTTCCAGTACTTCATCATTCCCAAGGCTTGCAGCGTGCTCACTATGTCCGACGAGTCGATAGCCATCTCTTTGCTAATATCTGTGAAGCATATTCACACGCTGTGTCATTATTATGTAACGAACAAATATAATGTCGGACGAGAAATTCCGAATCGTCCGCGAGTATATATGTATATATTTCCTCGGTATATGGTACAAAGACGAACCTTTGATGGATATCTCCTTGCCGCCAAAGTTGCAGAGGTACTGCAGCAGCACGTCCTTCCAGTAGCTCCGATACGATATCAGCCCGAGGTCCGACAATGGCTTTTCCGGCGAGCCTATTTTGTTCTCCACCCTCGTGAGCAGGTAGCCTGGAAAAAGAAAAAGGACGCGAGCGTCATGTCATGTACCACTTGGTTTCAAATAACAGCTAGCTGCTGCACTCGAGTTTGCGTGTACCTATATATATTATGCCTCGGGAAGAGAGAAATAAAACAAAAACAAAAAAGAAAAAGTTGGGGAAGCTCATCCACCTCCGAGAGCATTTGATTGATAAAGGGAGGCGAGATCTGCCTCTGGCCCTGAGGGATCGGCAGATTGATACGATCTTTGAAAAATCGAGATTAACTTTCCCTGGGGAGAAAAAAGAGCCGGTATCGTCTCTGACAAGCTGTACTCGTAGTCGATCGGATGATATCGCGAAAGGCCGTCGCGAGTCGAGGAGGGACACGCTCGATTCACCGTCAAATCGAGTGTCGAAAGCGATACACCAGCGTGGGCTCACCTGAACCGGTGACCGGTTGAGCGATCGTTCCAGCTGGCTTCTCTCTCTCTCTCTCTCTCGTTTTCTTCGAGCAAATTATTGACAGACGGACGAGAGCGTGCGCGCGTTATATGCACGAGTACAGGATAGGCACGGGAGTGATAGCTAGTTACAATATCATGCCTCGAGAGGCACATGTATACATTCTCGTGTACGCATATTATTCCGGCTGCCTCTGGCATTACGCGAGATCGCTCGCGTTATTTATACCTTGTTTTATCATTCCTCGTTGTTGTACGAGCGTTTCACTTTGTCGAGTCGTGAAATTACAGTCTCTCTCTCTGTGGGGTGAGAAATGTTTTTATTGGCTCGAATATCGCCGATGCGGCAGCAGAACCGTAGTTGCGGCTCGTAGGTTTTTGTGCACCGTAACGGTGACTCGCCGATGCTTATTTTTACGTATTTTTAGCCACCGGACCTCCTTGATGTTGCGAGCGCGAGATAACGACGTTTAATTTCCTCGCGTCTGTCGCAAGGTGCTCCGAACAATGGAAGTCGACTTTTCGTGGGGGGCGATGGAAAAATGTGAGTGGGTGTTTACCGAATACGCGGAAGTGGATGGCGATGATTTGGAGAGAAACTTCCACTCGGTTTGTGACGCAAGCGTTGTTTGTTACAAAAGCTCGTCCCACTGACGCTCGGAGAAGTAAATAATAGTATATGTAACATGGCAAGTCAAATCGAGTCAACTGCACGCCTACTGCAACTGCGCTTGTCCACGATGTTTAACTAACTATTGTATTCAATGAATGCGGTCGATCGAATTAATGGACGAATTTCTTGGATGATGTGTGTTTTGCCACAGTTTTTTTAAAACGTACAAAAATAGTTTTCATCATCGTAAAAGAATTATTAACTCGGAGTAAAAAAAAACAAACAAACAAACCTTTAATTCAACCAAAAATATGAAAATATAATAAATTTTGAAAATATACTCTTACTGAAGTAGTAATTGATTGGGATTGACCTGCTCTGATTATTTGTCTTTGCGGGTGATTTTTACACAATAAAAGTTCATGCAAAAACACAGTCAACAATCTTCTTACTCCCTATTAAAAAAAAAAAAAAAAACCTACATGGTAAAATGATTCTTCATAGCAAAAAATTTACAAGAGCCATGGTATCGCGAGTGATTTGAGCAAAGGCTACACGAAGCTTGTCCAAACGCGCTCAAACGACAGGACACTCCCCTGTCGCGGTCCTCCCAAACCGACACCTCAGCGCCATACGGTGCTCCCAACTCCTCGAGCCCAGACGGCTTGATTTTTCTTGTTTTTTTTTCGGCGCACCGTAATTTTCCCTTCTCTCTCTCTCTCTCTCTCGGATAGTCGGTCAAAAATCGGCTGGTTTCGTACATGCTACATCCGCCCTCTGAGCTCCGGACCCTCTCCGTCGCAGGGTGGGAGTAGGAAGGACTCGATGAAAGGGAGGCAGCAACCCCTGACCGCGCGATCCAGGCCCGCCAGCCAGCCGGGTTCAACGAACCCACCACCGGCAGCAGCAGCCTCCCCCGCTTATATGTGTATACACGTAGTGCCGCCAGTGCAGGGAAAGAGAGAGAGAGAGAGAGAGGTACGCAGCCAGTGTCTCGCCGAGGCCAGGGACGAGGGCAGACAAGGAGGGGCGGCTGCTGCTGTCGACTGCGGAGGGATGCGTACATTATTATATACACGTATACGCCGAGTTTGGCTGTACCGCGTACCTATACATGTATATATGCATACGGCCAAATTAAACGACCCGAAAAACAAAATCGATGCCGTTCAAACGAATGCGGATGCTACCGCCAAGGATTATGTTTCCGCCCCTGTGGACGTGTGCGCGCGCGAAGTGATACGGGAGTGGGGGAGGAGGGGTGCACTCGCGTAATCGGCTCGCGTTTTTGTTTCATCGCCAGCTCGGTTGTTGGCTGTATATCTGTTTGGTGGATGGGAGAGAAGCAATGACTGGATTTTTTTTTTCAATCCGCGGATTGATTCCGATGCGGTATGGCTTTTTTCTAAGTTTTCGAACCATCGAACGGGTATTGAAGTTTAGAGAGAGAGAGCGGCTGCAGGAGGTGTCTTTGTTCATTTTTATGTTTAGTGCTGTCCCCTCTTTTTTTTATTATTGGAACTATCGTGTATGGATGCAATTATTGGTATACGTAAATACCGCTCGTCTCGCAAATGCGTACGCAAATGAATCTCATTAAATATCGAGTCGCAATTTTAATTTGGACTCATGGTACAGGTAGAAGCATTGATTCGCCAATAGTAACTTCGATGTATTTCCAGCTGCCATACCATTGCGGCAGCACCGATATTTAACTTTGATATTTATCGTTAAAGAGTTGGATTTCAGTGCGTCGTAGGTATGGAAGTCATCTCCATGGGATTTCCGATCTTTGTAATTGCCCTTCGAAGGATGTATATATATACATGTTGAGTCACGTTGCCCATAAAGCGCAAGTCAAACACGTAGCGCGAAATTGGTAGCGAAATTGCACGAGTTCCGCCGCCGTCGTCATCTCGAGCTGTGGGTACACAATAAATCACTTTGAGCAAGTTGTGTATCCCCTCAACAACGAACGATGATTACGATCTATAACGGATGCTCATTAAAGGTTGTACCTGATATATACATCATGAGTATACGTTACGTGAATCTCGTTTTACATGAGTTTTTTTTTTTTTTTTTTTTTAATTTTATAAGACACATTGAACGAAATTTCTCATGAAGCAATCAAAACGACGAAAGATAATTTGATTGACGCCGGTTGTTTTCATTAAATTTTTTCACGTGCGAATGACGTACAGAGTGGTGCAAAACAATATGTCGCATTGGTGCCAGAAAATAAACGTCAAGCGCAGCGACGATAAAGAACAACCAAGTACGCGATTCACGAGAGTCACGAGACCGAAAATAAATAAATCAGCACCCCGGCGTACGAATTACACCCACAGGGGCGCACAATAAACGAGTAAATTGTATATTATGATGCTCCGCGCAAAAAATAAAATTCGAATTCAAACGCGTCGTCGTATCGCACTATGTTCATCCGATCGACCGAAGCGTACATACGCGCGGGAATTTAAGCGCACCCCTGATGGTGCAACAGCCTGCGTAAGCGGATTCCCAAAAATTTTTCGAAAACACGCGGCGATACCGTGACGCGCCGGTAGCACCGGAGCACCAGACAATGAAAAGTCTTATCCTCCCGCGGAAGCCCTTCCGGGCGCACATCACCGCAGCCGGCGAATAATTTTCCGCGAAAATCCGCGAAGGGTTGGAGGGGAGCACTTCACTCGTCCATACGTGTATCCCTGCACGCGCGTAGGGGGAGGAGGAAGCGCCAGCTGAACAGACCCGTATGCTCCTCGAGCGATTACTCTGACAAGGGCGCGCATTCACCGCCGTACAGCGCACGATGGCAGGGGAGGGTATAGCGGTGATGGCAGGGCTCCCGCGCGACGTCCTTTTCCTCCTCTGCAGCAGTGGCGACCAACCCTCCCGGTGCTCATCCTCCTCCCGCGATCTCGAGGGTTCGTTGGCCCAGGGCGTATACATAGTATACACACCGGCGCTGTTGAAATACCGCGTTCGCGAAGCTCATCCTGCGATTGTGTGAGTACTGGCTATGGAATTGTTCATGCGGAAATGTACGTAAAGTGCGTGGCTGCGAGGGATGTACGTCTAACGCTGAGCGGGGGGGGGGTGATCTTTTTCTCTTTCCGTTTCACGGGGAACTGAAAAATAAGGTCATAATTTTCGCACATTTGGCAGGTTTACCGTAATTTACTCGATTCTTGGGGTATCGGAGAGTTTTTTTTTTTTTTTTTTTTTTTAACTATAAAACTCTTGCATAATCCATTTGGGTGTGACAAAGAGCAATCCTCCAGCATCGTAGATTCGTATCCCAACGAATAACCGCAGTCGCCTCGAGGGCCTCATTTGGACTCATTCCAGAGATTCGCGTTATTCCTTCCGTCCGGACTTTTTTTATTATTACACTGTGCCGCCATTTCAATGATTTGCAAAAATTAATCCAAAAAAAAAGTAAAAAAAAATTGACATTGAAAAGTCATAATCCCACCCTTGGGATGGAAAAAGGAAAAAAGAGAAAAGTCACGTTAAGCCCATACAATAAATACCCTCGATCGGCCATCCGCGTTAACCATTGAATAATACACGCCCGATAGAGAGGGATCCACGAAGCTGGAACGCACTAAATAATTCACGCGTACCCGCGCAAAATACGAGCCCGGACTTTCGGCGCATACGAATATATATATATATATATATATATATATCATCCCCTATAAATATACACGGTACTGGCGGCTGGGCCCATTTTTCCTCCCCCTTGGCGCACCGGTGGGCCAACCGAGCGAGCCCGCGGAGAAAGAAGCGGAGGTGGAAGGAAGACGACCCGGTCGTAGAGATGCTACACACACAACATTGCAGCACGAGGGAGGGAGGCTGGCGCGGCCCTGCCAACCCTCGGCGAGGTCACAGGAGGTCACGCCATTGCCATCCCTGCAGCCGCGGCACTCGATCCGAGCTATACGCTGCCGCAGTAGCGCCGGCTGGGCCGATCGATGCGGCGAGACGCCGGGCGTCGCACTTTCCGCTAACTACTCGGTTCTGCTGCTGCTGACGCCCCCTCCGCCAGCCGGCAGTATCGGCAACCCATGGGTGGGGAGGGGGGGGGGAGTAAGCACGCCAAAGCTCCGAGTATAAATATACGTATACACTGCGGGCCGAAGCTTTTGCGCTAAGCTCGCGCATCGACTGGACTGATTTATCGTATACTGCTGCAACGTCAGATTGATAGAAAAAATAAAAAAAAACATCCTTTTTTCAAATAGTAATCGTCCGAAGCTTCAAAATCAAAGCTCATCAGTTCGCTGAGCAGATTTCGTACAAAATAATACTTCAACTCGTTTAATCTCGCGAGCGAACATCGCCCGGGGCACTCGCGAACAGCCAAAGAGCTAGCCCCACNAAAAAAAAAAAAAAAAAAAAAAAAAAAAAAAAAAAAAAAAAAAAAAAAAGGATAATGGAGGAAAGACAAGAACTGGAGGGGGGGGGCGAGATGACGAGGGGAAACGCATGCGTGTGCCTGCCAGTCATCGGGGCTTGTATACGAAGGAAAAGATAGGTGAAAAAACGAGCCATCGAGGAAAGTCACAGCGGGAGGAATCTGCGGAGACGGATAGGCGCGGACGAGGGGATCCTCGCCACCCCCTGTACGCTGAGCTTGGAAAGCTCGAAAAGAGAGACGGTCTCGCGAAGGTATACCTGCACAAACAGGAGGAGAAGGACGAAGCGCCACCGGCTGGAAGGGTGTAGAGAGGGAGGATTAAAATAGAGGCTGCACGGGTGGGTGGGACGTACACGGAAAATCCACACTCTGGGCACGCATTGTACTGCGGCATGCGTGGGGGTGGCTGGTGAGTGCCTCCTCTCTGCGCTACCCGTTACTGTGTTCACGGCGTATGTGTACGGGTACCACTGTGTACCATATACGTACGACGATCGATACCACCACCGGTGCTACTCTGGCTCTCGGCGGCATCAATGAAAATGACGTCAGCCATAGAGAAGGAGCTGCCACATGTACTCTGCTACGGTAAAAAGCGCGCGTTTTAATTATTCCACGGGAAATGGGGTTGATGGGAGGTAGGGAAGCTCTCTTTCTGCCGCTCTTACATTCGACACGGCCTATTTAAGCTCCCTCCCTCCTCCTCCTCCTCTTCTCTTTTGCTGCTGAGTCTCCGAAAATGGGTAGGTGTATATCGTACAGCGACGAGGAGGAGAGGCTGATGCGGCAAACACCAACGAGGAAGGGGTGGCCGTTGCACTGCTCCATTATTCTGCTCTCTGCTCCCTTGCCGCTCCTACCATCGTATACAGTGTATGTCTCTATGACTGCAGTGCATTCTCTCTCTCTCTCTCTCTCTTCTCTGTACTTTATTTCGCGCATAAACAAACGACCGACTGGCTTCTCAATAAAGAAGGAGACCTCTCCCTTTGCACTCGAGGCGCGATATTAGCCTGGGTGGGTGCTGCGTTGCATATACGTATAACCGTCAGAGCTCGTGTGAATAGCGGCATCAAGTGAGAGAGCAATTTGCCTTTGTGACGCCATACCGCTGCCGGTGCCTCCTTAACCTACTTGTGTGCACCCTCTGAGTGCTCTACGATGACATCGTTATAGCTCTCCTCCCCCCCTCCTTTTTTTTTTTATTGGTTTTAGCAAATTTTATGTTTTTTGTTCCAAGTGAGATTTTATTTCGTTCTTCCTTCCCAGGCAAGGGATTAAGTGGAATTTTTGTCTCTGTGGGGGATGGGTTATTGTGGCATTGCCTTGGAGATTTTCTTTTTTTTTTTTTAACCTGTGATTATGACAATTCGAGTTATCTCTTTCGTCAAACTACTCATTTTTTACGGGGTACGATGCACTCCACCTTTGAGGTGAAATAATGTGATAATCTTTTTGTTGCCCTTGAATTTATCAGGTACTCCAAACTTTTTTATGGCTTGATAAAATGTTTGTTGCAGGTATGGGTATATGCTGCACCGAGAAACCGCAGTAATGAAATCGAAAACGATCGTAACGCTGGGTAAAGTCGAGCCAGCCGTAGTTACAAAGCCTCAAACTTTCGTGCGAAAACGATAGCAGAAGCCACGAGTTTACACACCGGGAAAAAAAAAAGAAAAAAAAAAAAAAAACAATTGTTCGCGGGTAACAACGGCAGCGTGTATTTGTACGTAAGTCAAAAAGTACAGCGAAAGCGAGAAACCGCAGTATGGTCGCAATACGGAGACCGCAAGCGAGCGCCACCGAGCAGCTGCGCGAATTTCCGATGGTGTTCTCCTTCTCTTCTTCGCAACGATTTATCTCTCGTGCGATTTATTTTCGTTTATTTGGACTTTCGCGGTTTATCAAAGTACCGATACTCTGGTTTTAAAACAGTTAAAAAACCAAAGTTCTCCCAAACGAACTTGTCCCAATTAAAAGGTGGTGGCATGAGAAAGGACAATGTCTTTTTTCATCAAAGTTAATTACCCGGAAAAATTGAGGGAATTTTTTTCTTCTTTGTCAGCGTGATGGGGTATTTCACGAATAAAGAGCTTTAATTTCACGTGTCCGTGTTTCGGATGGAAATTATTTATTTTTTGAAAGTGAACGTTACGTTCACTAATTTATCAGTGGATATTTACTGAATGAAGCAGTGATTTTTCGAGCATGTTCACTTTGAATTACTCGGTTTTTCCCTTAAACCAATGAAAAAGGGGTTTTATTCGTCGCTCAATATATCACGAGATAATGCACGCTTGTTTACATTCACTAGAAGATCTCGAGGCAGCAGCTGCTAAAAAACCACCTCGCAATAACTACTATCCACGTCAATTGGATTAAAAACATCAACGAGGTCCGAATACTTACTGAAGTCGATGAGCAGTCGGCCGTAGCCTTTCCTCTGGTACGGCGGCAAAGTAAGTATACACGAAACATTGTAGTTGTTGTTGGAACTCTTTTCCTGGAACAGATGAGAAAAAATAACGTGAATTAACAAAAGAAGAGAAAAAAAAAAATTTTAAAGGTGACTGAGCGGTGAAAGTTATTGTGTTCAACTAATTGTTTGAGTACAGGCGTTTGGTTTAATTTTGTGACAATAAAATAACAAGAGTGTTATTTCAGAAACAAAAAATTTAGTTCATGACATTGAAAATGCCTTCGAAAAACTGAGTTTCGCTGTGATTAACGTAATTTATACAGAAGGCATCGCTGGATACCTTTGGTGAATTCATCTCGTGTCTCGAATCAAATCAAGTTCAATGAGATTCACCAACTCTACCGACTGAGCTGCGTCAGTCGACACTCTNAAGTATACAGCTACCCACAAGGTGCACGGAGAGGTCTCGCTGCGAGCTAGCTCCAGCGAATTCCAATTGTGTACATATGTGAAAAAAAAAAAAAAAATAAAGAGGGAGGAAGAGATAAGCCCTTTCGTGCCATTTTATACCAGACAGGGAAGACACATGAAAATGCCTTCGAAAAACTGAGTTTCGCTGTGATTAACGTAATTTATACAGAAGGCATCGCTGGATACCTTTGGTGAATTCATCTCGTGTCTCGAATCAAATCAAGTTCAATGAGATTCACCAACTCTACCGACTGAGCTGCGTCAGTCGACACTCTTAAGAACCCAAAAACTATCACTTATTGTACTACGATGACGTGTTATTTGATTATATTTTTTAATTATCTTTCGTAGAACATGCATTGATAGAACTAATGCATGTTTTATACGTACAGTACCTATTTTCGTAAATGAAAAAAAAAAAAAAAAAAAAATTAAATCACGAAGACAGCCAAGAACGAGAACGGGTAAATGTTCCTTCCGTCATACCAGAGACTCGTCCTCCTACTTGCGAGTATACGGATATTCGCACTCTTTGATACAATTTTACAATTTCACACCAAGCATGTAACGAAGATAATGAGCATGCGTGAGCCCAAGTGCTGCGCATCGTTCGCANTAATCAACCACGAGTGCTGCCTCGATCGAGAACGGGTAAATGTTCCTTCCGTCATACCAGAGACTCGTCCTCCTACTTGCGAGTATACGGATATTCGCACTCTTTGATACAATTTTACAATTTCACACCAAGCATGTAACGAAGATAATGAGCATGCGTGAGCCCAAGTGCTGCGCATCGTTCGCAATTAAAGCGCGCCCGTCTCAATTTTCCCCAGCATCGTCAACGAGACGCGAGAGTCGTAAATTTTTCGGCCTCTGCCGCAGAGAACACGGCTCTTCGATCTCGACTCTCTTTCTTCTTAGCTTCACTCTCTCGTTTTGCTCTTTCAATAAAAGGTTTGCTATTCGTGGCACACCCGGTATTTCCGGCAGAGCATCGCCGGAGAGAGGAGCCCGAGAACGCGTGCTCGGAAACGAGATGGAGAGAGATAGAGAGCGAACGAGCGAGCAGAGAGAAAAATAGTTGTTGCTAACTGCCTCCTCGAGTGTAGGGCAATGCCTGAAGGACAAACCACCAAAGTGTGGTGTATATAGTCACGAGATTCTCTCTCTCTCTCTCTTCTCTCCCCCTCGAGCTCGCCCGTATACGTTAAATAGTCGCGTGTAATGGAGTGTTGCAGACTACAATGTTGATTTGCTCACGGATTTTTTGTCGCTGCCGCAGAGGAAAGAGATTAACACCCACGTACCATTTGCCATTATCCAGGATTCATCTTGAAATATTCAATGCGTGGGTGTACAAGGCGATTAATTTCGATGGATCCGTCGGAAATCCGAGATCCTACCTAAGCCCATCGTACACGCAGAATTGAAATGAAAAAAAAAAAAAAAAAGGGTCAGCCGAGAAAAGCGCAGCAGCAATATGACGCTTACAGCGCGAAACTCGAAATGAAAAAAAAAAAAAAAAAAAAAAAATTCACTGCCAGGATTAATTACCGGCAAACGATGGAATTCGTGCAAAATTCAACTTCGTCGCGACTCCCTTTCATCATCACTCACTAATGGACGCCCACGCAGCAGCCCCTCTCTCCCGATCGTGCGCGTGCCCTCTTTAAAGCCCACTAATAAGAACCACACACCGTCCATTCGCAAATCCAATCTGCGGCCCAGTTAGCAAAGATGAAAAACCCGTGGGGCGCTGGGTCGAGCGGACTCGCCCCTGGCACACGTATTACCAATACCTATACGAGTAAGCGTTGGCAAAAATTACGTGTAGAAGATGAGTTGGAGGAGAACGAGGAGGAGGGCGTGCGAGCGCGACGACCTTGGGACCGCACCGTATACCAGCGCGTATTGTGCGTATGTATAGCACGACAAAGGAGTAGTCTACGGACCCACTGGCTGCAGGCTAGGCCGTTGTCGGCGGGAGCAAGCACATATACGTATACAGCCAGCGAGCATACACGTCGCCCCTGACGGGAAATACCCCGGTGTACGCTCGAGACTCTCCTTCTTTTCGTTCGCTCCGTGGCTCTATAGGTATATACATGCGTGTCCTTTGTACCTGTACATGGGCATGTATGTACACACATTAGCACTCTGTCGATTTGTTCGAAAGGATACATATCGACGATGCTCCGGCCGATTCCGTGAATAACATCGAGCTCCGATATAACGTATCGTGTGGAGGGAAGAGCGAATCGCCCGTTCCGATCTGTATATACTTATGCCGTGCAGTGCGAGAGTTTCCTCATCGTCAGGCCCGAGAGACGAATCGAAGCGCCGAGGTTTATATTTAGCCGCAGCGGAAATTCTTTCGTCTCGAGCGCTCTCTCTTTTTTTTTTTTTTTTTTTTAATCGCGAAATTTGGCAAGGATTTTCAAGTCAAGCGTGTACCAGTCTAATTAAAAAAAGAAATCCTAGGAGCTTCAGTGTAAAAACCAGGACTAAGCAGGCGCCTTGGGCGTCTGTACAGAAAAAAAAAAAAAAAAAAAAATATGTATACTTATGCATACGCTGAAAAGACGCAAAACTACGTAATTTGAGCGTAAATTCGTTACGGCCCGTGATCCCTGAAACCTTGACGACCCTCGAAGGAATCATGTCAGAAGTTACGTGAAAAATCAATTGCCGGAAACAGTGAAGCCCCCCCAACGCGTATCCCCTTCCAGCCCCTGAAAAAGTACCTCCAATCCATACGCACGCCCGACCGGAAACGGCCACGCTGACCTGCGTGTATATACTCTCAAGTATGCCTACTCTCGAAATTTTTTTTTTTTTTTTTTTTTTTTTTTTTCATGTATTTACTCTAACAGGGAGGGAGTAGGGTGTGCGCGAAATTGAGTCCTTTCACACTGAGCTCCTCGCCTCGTTACTGCGGATGTGCACACTGCGTACGGCTAATGTGCAGCACGCTCGTCGAAATGAATAAACGCCGGGAACTTTAACAGCACATGTATACATTATATTTTATTATATTATATCCTGGACGAGAAGAAGTATATATATACGTATACGTACGAAGAGTCGTCGTCGCGAGGAGGAGGGAAAGAAAGAGAGAGGGAGAGAGAGAGAGAGCACAGACACACACGCTTGGCCGTCGCTGCAGGCTGGATGGCTAGCATTCCTTTGATCATTGTTATTATGGGCTTTTGAAAATTATACGAGAGCAGCAGATAGTGGCTGCGGTTTCTTTTGCCTGCGGACTAGGAATTCGCATTTTTTTCGCCTCGCAGCAACAATCAGACGAACGCGGAGCCTTTTTTTTCGCAGCTCATGCAAACTAGACGATTATTGCGTACGTATATAGTTTGTTGGAATTTGAATTTTTATTTTTTATTTATTTTTTTTTTTCATATATATTTAATATGTTGGACGTATGAAGCCGAGAAAAGATGAACTTACATTGTGGATATTAAATTCGATTTAAAACGAGCTTTGGGCTCTGTGCTCCGGGCTGATTGTAGTACTGCAACATTTTCGTGCTCTGAAAAGGTGTATCAAACGTATCAAGAACGAGAAAAATCGGGACGAGCATTTTCAATTGGGAAAAAGGCAGCCAGAGCATACAGTACGCGTATCTCGTTTAAAAAGACTTTGTACATCAAATCATCTCGAGGAATCACGAGCGAGACGACAAGAAACAGAGGCGAGTCAGTTGTAAACGGAGCCACTATGCACCTCCGTGACGCGCGTAAGTCGATCGGAATTTGTTCGCCCACCACGCGCCGATTAGCGAATATGCTGTAGCTCCTACACAATTCGCACACACACACACGTCTTCTCCTTACGATTTACTCGCTCGAGTGTCCTCTGTATGTCTGTCTGTCTGGCGGACTTGTGTGTGCATAATTGTATATATGTATGCCCCGGTCAAAGCTTACATATCGCCGGAGACACCGATTTCACGCCCAATATGTAGTAAGACGCTTAACGAGTCGAATAAACATCGAGCCTGTCTGTCGTCTCTATGTGGGTATGTACATTATCGTGCGAGACAGTCAGTTTTTTTTTTTGTCTAGAGCGTTGACGATTGCCCTTTCCGCTTATATTGAAAGATCAACCGATTTTTCAAAAATCGTTATCAATACATCAAGCCGATAATTACCGCGAGATAATATTTATCATTTTAATGCTTGTGTGATGTGTAAATTTCATATAAAGTTTGGCCATCCAATGAAAGATATTTTTGGTGTACAATCGGTCGATTGTAGGGAGGACTATTGGAATGGCTAAAGGAGAGTTTTTTGTTTTTAAAAATTGCAACGCAACAGAGAAGCTCCTAGACAGCTTCGACGTTACCGTCAGAAAACCGGTCATCCCAAAAACACCGGGCCTATCCACGCTCTCTCTCGTTCCTTCACTTTGCAAATGAGTGTTTGGCATCGAAAAAAAAAAAAAAAATTAAGAAGCTTTTCTTCGTCGAAAGAGACACGGGAGGAAAAAACCGAGAGACCCGTTGTACCTCCCACGTCGCGTATATATCATACCGGCTCCTCGAAACCGTGTATTCACCATAAAGTTTCGGCGTATTTTTCCTCCCAATGATCTCGAATGCCACCAATAATCCAGTATCCCAAAAAGAAGTTGCGAGCCGACTTTAGTGTCTCTACAGTATCAATTTGATCGTTCCGTCGGTGACACACGTATTATTGTATACAGTACGTTGTGAAATCGATGCAGCTAAACCTCATGGATTTCATCAATTTAACACATAAGATCGATAATTCTGGATATTTCACGTGTGCTATTATCAATAGAAAAGTGATGTGACTGCCCTGATATATACATGTTGTATTGTTTCATGATTGGACTTTTTCGAACGTTGTTATTTTATAAAAAAACTTGAGTTACGAGCATTGTTTCACGTTTTTGATCTACTAATTGGTAAAGTAAGATAAGAAAAAGCATTAAGCAATCACAATCTTCAACAGAACGAAACGAGTACCGAGTATTGAGAATTAGAAAAAAAAGGCACAAGTTTAGAAGAAAAAAAGGGGGAAATACAATAATTTAAGTTCTTTAGTGCTTTAATATTGTAAATTACAATATACTCTTTTGCCTGATTAAAGCTTTTTTTTCTTCCTCATTTGAGAGAAAAAACAATGGACGTTTCTACAACAACGACAATGTTCATTATGATCGTGAGATTATTTATCGATGTACAACATTAAAAAGAGTTTTAGATTCACGCTGATCTTTAAAAAAGCCACCTTTTAGCGCAATGAAAAAAAATCCCTATAGTGCCCGCGGTTGGCGGGGGCATCGCCCGCTCTCTCCCACGCCACTCTGCCGCCCACAACTTTTACCTCGTGGAAATGGTGCAAGAACGATCGTCGATTCGAATCGGACGTGTTTTCTCGCGTTTAGGCCTGCAAAGGCGACTCTCTATCGCGAAACGGCTCTTTTTTTTTACACACACACAGTCACACATACACAGAGCAATTCGGAGGGCTTGGAAGTGGGAAGAAAGGAAATCACAATGGCGCAACGCCGACAAGTGAGATTGGCTATTTTAAGACAGCCGCGCGGTGACTCCGCACAGTCGATACGTACACGCTCGAATACGACGCGTACGGAATTGAGATCTAAAAATAGTTTATTGGGCGCACAATGATTTTTGAGTCTGGAAATTTATGCAGTGAGCGTACACGTACACCGAATAAACCTCATCGGATGTACAGTCCTACGCGTGAGTTTCTCAATCAATTGAAAACAATTGAATATCAGAGGAGGGGGGGGGAGGGGCTGGCTAATATTATATAATTTAAAGAATAAAGAAGAGAGATGGAGGAAAAGGAAGTTTTTTTTCTTTAAAAGTCTCGAGAGCACGTGATTACCTCACGAGTGGCGGCACTATACTATGTGTATACACTCTACAGAGATGAAGCACCTACCGTACTATATGATAAAGCTTTTTGGTGTATAATTTACGTGGTTATATACTGCAGGACTACAGCTCAAGAGGACGGGCCTAAGTAATGCCCGCAGCTCGAAATTAGCGAACGAGCCAGCAACGCCGTTATATCCGCTGCCATTGTCCCTTTCGTACGCGTATTATAATACTGCATCGTAGAAAATATATGAAAAATTGATATTAAGAACTAACTAGTTTTTTTTTTAAAGATTAGTTGGAAATAAACACCCAAAATGTGATAATGCCTTTACTATTTAAAGAAAATGCTTAATAGTATTGTTACTATAAATAGAAATCTTTAAAGCTCAATCAACTTTGCACCGTATAATAGCTGGCGTTTGTAATGCAAAGACATTATAAAAGATTTTTTTATCTTTCAGATGTACAATATGCATCTTTGACATGTAAATCGTAAGAAAATACGGAAACCTGAAAGTTATCCAAGATTTTATTGGCTGCTGAGCTTTTAAGTTTTGTTTAATGAAGATTGCTTATTTATTTCAGTTTTTTATTTATTTATTCATTTATTTTTTTTCTTTACCTATTAAGTGCTATTTTGTGTTCAAATATGTTTTGAGCATTTATTTGTTCATGTATTATAATATATAACTCATCGAGTTTGAAAATTTTTCAGTCGCTTAATGACATTGCGAAACGAAAGTACTGTTAAAACTGAAAATTCTTCTTTGAAATGATAATCAAGTTATTACAAAACTAATAATTTATTTTGTTTTATTTGTATTTGTTCCTGATACATAATAGAATGGTACTTTAAACCAATAGCTACTCTACGTTTGTAACCTTGTCTCCAGGAATTTGTAATCACAACTCCTTACTGAAAAATTTTTTTAAGAAATACAGCCACTGAGACTCGTATCGGTACAGGTACTTTTGCATCGTTGACCTCGCGTAAGCGCAGGGGCTAATAAGAGACCGAAGCACGAGAGAGAGAGAGAGAGAGAGAGACATACCTATACCCATCGGTCTCTCAACAACTGGACTCGACTGCAACAACTGCAAGGTAGGGTATACACCACATGGGCAGTGCATGGCGACGGTCACGTCTATATTTAGATGCACCGGAGTTTCCCCTTCGCTGCGCCTGTTGTTACTTTCTTTATGCCTCGAACAAAGCGCACGCGTGTAAGTATACAGCTACCCACAAGGTGCACGGAGAGGTCTCGCTGCGAGCTAGCTCCAGCGAATTCCAATTGTGTACATATGTGAAAAAAAAAAAAAAATAAAGAGGGAGGAAGAGATAAGCCCTTTCGTGCCATTTTATACCAGACAGGGAAGACACATCCGCAGATTTTTTTCACGGCTACACGCGAGATGTACACACACCGCGGAAAAACACAGGCACCCAAACCAGGGAATGATTAGGAATTTAGTTGGTAAGTACTGAGATTGGGTCTCTCGGTAGTTTTAAGTTGATACTGTGCTCCGAAAATACTCCGTTAATTTGACGAAAAACCACTTCGATCGAAATTCAGATTAAAAGGGAAAAAGCACTCGATCATCTCTCGGAGCACTGCTCGAAAACCGAGCTTTAACATTATTTACGCCAAGGAGATGAAAAAAAAAGAAAAAAAATGTATAAAAGAGGATAAAAAAAGGTAATCAAGCGCAGTGTATAACAAGCGTTATTTATTCCGGTAGCGCTGTCGGACAAAAACGCTCTCGTGAACACTAGGCACTCGTATCAACCCTCATGACAGACCCGACACCCCTTTTTCTCCCTTACTTCGCGTACACATGCAGGTAACAATGCATCACCTCCCCCCTCCCCATACACATGTTGTATACGAGTTGTTCTACGAAGATCCATCCGTTACGTGAGGATGAAAAAATTTAGATAGAGTACATTTTGTGCCTTGATTAGGCTTTCTTCTGTAGGCGTTTTCTCACACTATCGGCAAAGCTATCCTCAAAAACACGATGATTTTTTTTTGTTACTACACTTTTCTGAGCTTATTTAATAATCAGGAGAATCGTGATCGCGTCCCCCTCCTCAAAAAAACGTTCACGCTCTTTTCGACTGTTTGAGAAAAATCAATGATCACAATAGTGACAACCGTATACCGAAAGATTTTCCGTGGAACTGCTCCTATGCACGCGAGGAGATAAAAAAAAACCCATACAGATGTAGGTGGGCGAATGTTGAAAACGCACACCCATGAGCACGCAAAATCGACGCGCTCGGCAGTATATGGTTACCTATTAGACGTACCTATACAATATACGGGGGCTCGCCTGTATAATTGAGCGGTCGGGCGCGATCGCTCGGGCTGCTTCTCTTTGGAAAAAAGTGTTATTATCGAGGGAAAGAAAAAAAAAAAAAAAAAAAAAATTAATCAACCACGAGTGCTGCCTCGATCGAGAACGGGTAAATGTTCCTTCCGTCATACCAGAGACTCGTCCTCCTACTTGCGAGTATACGGATATTCGCACTCTTTGATACAATTTTACAATTTCACACCAAGCATGTAACGAAGATAATGAGCATGCGTGAGCCCAAGTGCTGCGCATCGTTCGCAATTAAAGCGCGCCCGTCTCAATTTTCCCCAGCATCGTCAACGAGACGCGAGAGTCGTAAATTTTTCGGCCTCTGCCGCAGAGAACACGGCTCTTCGATCTCGACTCTCTTTCTTCTTAGCTTCACTCTCTCGTTTTGCTCTTTCAATAAAAGGTTTGCTATTCGTGGCACACCCGGTATTTCCGGCAGAGCATCGCCGGAGAGAGGAGCCCGAGAACGCGTGCTCGGAAACGAGATGGAGAGAGATAGAGAGCGAACGAGCGAGCAGAGAGAAAAATAGTTGTTGCTAACTGCCTCCTCGAGTGTAGGGCAATGCCTGAAGGACAAACCACCAAAGTGTGGTGTATATAGTCACGAGATTCTCTCTCTCTCTCTCTTCTCTCCCCCTCGAGCTCGCCCGTATACGTTAAATAGTCGCGTGTAATGGAGTGTTGCAGACTACAATGTTGATTTGCTCACGGATTTTTTGTCGCTGCCGCAGAGGAAAGAGATTAACACCCACGTACCATTTGCCATTATCCAGGATTCATCTTGAAATATTCAATGCGTGGGTGTACAAGGCGATTAATTTCGATGGATCCGTCGGAAATCCGAGATCCTACCTAAGCCCATCGTACACGCAGAATTGAAATGAAAAAAAAAAAAAAAAAAAAAAAATTCACTGCCAGGATTAATTACCGGCAAACGATGGAATTCGTGCAAAATTCAACTTCGTCGCGACTCCCTTTCATCATCACTCACTAATGGACGCCCACGCAGCAGCCCCTCTCTCCCGATCGTGCGCGTGCCCTCTTTAAAGCCCACTAATAAGAACCACACACCGTCCATTCGCAAATCCAATCTGCGGCCCAGTTAGCAAAGATGAAAAACCCGTGGGGCGCTGGGTCGAGCGGACTCGCCCCTGGCACACGTATTACCAATACCTATACGAGTAAGCGTTGGCAAAAATTACGTGTAGAAGATGAGTTGGAGGAGAACGAGGAGGAGGGCGTGCGAGCGCGACGACCTTGGGACCGCACCGTATACCAGNGCTACGATCTGCGTCCATGAGCGCTGTACGGAAGGGCGTCGAGGCGCGTGTAATTGGGGCCCTCGCGAGGCACCGCGAAAAATGGAGCCGCTACCTTTTTGTGAAAAAAAAAAAAAAAAAAAAAAAAAAAGATAGAGCCTGTAGCTTCTGCACACGGAGCGAGAGAGAAAAAAAAAGGTACACCGATACACGCATGCGGACGCTTTCGGTGGCGTGTACACATACACGGGGGAGGAGGAAGTACAGGACACGCGGAAGAAGGAAAGGGGGGTGGGGGCTGGTGTTGCAAAAAGGGTGCCGGTGGCGCGCATTTGGGATTCGGTCGTGTGAATATACAGGACTGTCTGGCATCGATCGGCTTGGCTCGTGCACCGGCAGGAGTAAAGCGAGGCAACAGACCTCGAGCCTGTGCACGGCGGGGGAGGAGCGAGCGGGGGGAAAGGGGTTTCGCGAGTTGAGGAGAGCCCACCCTCCACCGGAGCGTAGTATCGACGACCTCCAGGCGGCTCTTTTTCTCTCTGCGGATGCTGTCTTTTTTTTTTTTTACTTCTCTCTCTTTCGTTCAACTTCCGCGTCTCGTTCCAACCCCTCTTTACTCCAGATAGCGTACCTAATAACGTGTCTCTCTTCTCTGCGGGCAATTTTACTTTCTCTTTGTGAATAGGCGCGCGATTGCGCATCGCTTATTGTTTCAATGTTGAATTTGTCGGTTTGAGTTGAGCGCGTCGAGGTGTTGCTGCCGGCTCTTTCGCAAAAATTAGAGCCAACCTTGACGAAAAAAAAAAAAAAAAAAAAAAAAAAAACAATTAGGTATCCTCAGGAGTTAACTGTGCTGTGAATATTTTACCTACTCTTTGAGGTGGTAATGCCTCACTGAGAAATCATTTTTGATTAACTCGTTTTTTTTTTTTTTACATTATCCCATTGGACGAAAGAATTTCAAAAACTTTTCACTCAGACATTTTATCATTTTAAAATATTGTTTAAAAAAGAGCTACACACTATTGATTCGTGATCAGATTTATGTCATATAAATACCAAACAACAAAGTCACACGCGTTTGCATTACCCTCGAGTACCTCTCACAGGTGTTTTATTTATTTATTTTTTTTTTTGTCTTCCACACCCATTCATTCCACCCTTCCTCCTCCGCCCAAACCTTGAACCCTCATCCCCTCGTAACACACTTCAGTATCAAAATAAGCTTATCATCCTTCGCCAAAACAACTAGTAGCACAACAATTCGCAAGGCTAGTGTGTGCAATTACACAAACGCGTCCTAATTAAACCAAGGCCATTCACAGTTTGAATTAATACGGAAAACTCGTCAAAACTCGCTACACCCACCCCACCCTCTCCTCCGCGCCGCAGCACAATACGCCGTCCTGCCGCGACACACTGCAGCCGCTGACGCCCTTTGCTTTTCCCCTCGTCTGACTCCGAGCAGCTCGTCCTTTCCCCGCTCCACGCTTTCGCGGAGCGCCAACAGCGGGGAAGCTACGGCTTTCCGCAAACTTCCTCTCCCTCCCTCTTTCTGCCAACAGCAACTCTTGGATGCCAGAAGGGGCATTTTTTAAGGAAAATCGCATCCCCTTTTCCTCTCCTTGGCTTTTTACCTCTTACACACACCTTTACGTGAGTATACATCTACCTTTTTTTTTTTTTTTTTCTCCTTCCTTTTCCTCATTTCCCGTATACTTTTTCCAACCACCAACACCATTACCATCCCCGTACACGTATTATATCCCTGTCCTAGCTCCCGAGGGTGGACTTTATTTTTTCCCGTCCGCCGCCTTATCCCGGTGGTCTCGGGATCTTTACGACCCCCCCCCCCCCGACCAAGCCTCTCCTCCTCTATTTTCTTCCACCCACCCCGGCTCCGTTCTTTATTCATTTCGTTCTTCCTCCTCCTCCTCGTCTGCGACTCTCCGAGAGCTTGCAAGCTTGCCTCGGGCGCTCGTAAGAGCCAGCCGGCTGTAATTTCGTTTCGCAACCCTGCTCTCCCTCCCTCTCGTCGTTGTTATATCATGCGCTTATAAGCACACCCGTATACATAGGTATATACGCGCGTGCTTTGGTTTTTCCTTTGTCGAGGCCATCAGAAGCCGTGGGAGCTAAAGTCGCGGTTGGTTTGATACACCGAGGGAGCGCCGCTAAGGTCAAGGGTAGTGTCGGGGCTCTATCTTATGGTTACTTTTGTCGCAGACGAGGAGGGTGGCCCGTGGAATACAACGTAGGTAGAAGTAATGCGTTTGGGAAATTGTTTGTAGTCGCGAGTACAGTGAAAAAGAAATGCTCGCAGGGGGAATTCAGCTGGTATACTCGTTCGTGGGGTGGTTCTGGTACAATTGCGTTGGTCATCGGAATTCCCAGATTTATTTGCCAGAATTTGACAATACGATTTTCTTTTTTTTTTTTTTTTTTTTTTTTTTTGTATTATTTATCAAGCCTTTTTCAATCGAAAGTTGATTGGCTTCGAGTTGGTCTGCCGAAATTGGGATAATAATATTATTATCAGCTGATAATGATGAAACACGAGAAGATTAAATATTTAAAAAAGTGATTGGTTTCCTCTTCCAAAATGTATAAGTATAAGACAAAATACAGCTTTTATTCGCAGAAAATGGCACCTAACTATTTCCACCAAGATATGTTAAAATGACTAATAAATAAATCTCAATCTACACAACAACCTCGCATCTTTTCACACACGTAACGTAAAGGCATACCATTAAAATTCAGATAATATTCCCATGCAAGATAACACCGTAAATTCCGAGCGTCTCCTGTACGCCGAGCATTTCGTACGAGACACAAAGCGGTACGCCCAAAAAAAAAAAAAAAAAAAAAAAAACAAGCCACCGGTGCGGTTTTTCCTCAAACGCGCAACTTGTCGTCGAGCAACAACTCGCTCAACTCGTTTCTCTCTTTCTCCCTGGTGCTCCGTTTTCTGCAACACCGAGCTGGTTTTCGCTTTTGAGAAAGTACGCACTATATAATGCACGTACGTTTCCTTCGCGGGGAACATGCGTGGGCATATATATATACGCGATATTGCTTGTCAACGCATTTATCATTCGCGCGGCAGCTGCTTACGCGAACTCTTTCCTCCCTCCCCTCCTGCATGTATATAAATATCGCGATCGATTCGCTCGTCATCTCTTGCGAGCCGATTGTTGTAAATTACTTCGAGGTGGGAGAGTAGGTGACTGGTCGATATTAATTTATCATCGATTGATTTTTCGGAAACGGAAAAGCGGAAGGAAAAAAAAAACAACAACACGATTGTTCGACTCGACGCCTCTTGTGATCAGATTGGTGTTGTTCGCGAGACAACGACCATCGATCATATTTCCACGCTTTCTCTGCGTTCCGTTTGACCAAAAAAAAAAAGCGAGCTTGAAATTTTCAAAAAATCTAGTTTATTGCTCACTACGATGCATGAAAAATTACTTCACCTTTACGGCTCATTGAACGCTCGAGGACTAAAAAACAACTCCAGTGAAGAAAAAAAAAAAAAAAAGTAACAACATTCGCATCGTCCTAATTTGCACGTTAAGTACACAAACACTGGGGGAAGAAAAAAACCTCCTTGAGAGCAGCCGCGTCGGCCCGAATTCAATTACGTGTGGAGCACCTCCCCGGCAGACGCAAACCACCCGTACCACCGTAATTACTCGTCTCTCTCCGTCGCGAGATAAAGAAAGGCAAATAGAAAAAAAGGGGCAGTCGTTACGCGAGAAAGAAGAAGAAGAAAAAAAAAGAGTTGATCTCGAGAGAGATGGGCGCTTAAGTGCTAGAGCATACGTCATTTCTACCCCGTGCCCACACGCTCGATACAACTCGTCAATGTTACGTATCGCATAGTGTAATACACGCTGGGATTCTAACAAACATCTGTATGAAACACCATGTACGAGGACAGACGGTTGGGGCTACGATCTGCGTCCATGAGCGCTGTACGGAAGGGCGTCGAGGCGCGTGTAATTGGGGCCCTCGCGAGGCACCGCGAAAAATGGAGCCGCTACCTTTTTGTGAAAAAAAAAAAAAAAAAAAAAAAAAAAAAAAAAAAAAAGACGGCAGCGCGCAACAATCAGCCATACGCTCGCTACTCCCCGTGAATTTCCCTACACTCCCTCCTTCTCGCCTCCGGCGATTCCACACGCATAATATACACAACCGCGCGCGCCACCGCTCATCACCAATCTTTTCCGGCACTGTTCATCTTCCTCGCTCCCGGTATACCAACAACAATCATAACACGCGGCCCCTCCTCGCCCCCGCGTCAAGTCCGCGTGGGCTCATGCATTATTCACCCCCTCCCCCACCAACGCAATCCGCAGAGAGAGAGAGAGAAAGGTAGATCCCACGCGTTAATAGGGGATGTTAGGCAAATGAGTCGGGCCCAGTCGCACCCCCGCTATATGCGAGGCTATATGTGTGTATAAGGACCAAAGTGCAGGGGCGGAGGCAACTCGCGCAACAGGGCTCGCCGGACAA